AAGTAGTAATGATTTAAAGTCGTTCATTCTTTTTGGGCTGTATCTATGAAATAAGCAAAAATGTTTACATTAGAACAAAGGTTCTATTTCATCATGTACAATGATGCACCGCTATGTGGGGAACTCAAATAATTGTATGTATGCTGATGCATTGGTAGAGTCTAAAAGGTTTTTCATCCCATTGCACTTTCTGGAGTGAGTGATTTCATCATACTGCTGTGGAATATCCCAAAAGATGTTGTGATTGAATGAATTGATTTTTTTTTTTCATGGTGTCAGTGCAGGAAAGTATAAGCTATCGACCAGAATTAAAAAATAAAGTGAAAAAAAAAAAAAAAGATTTAGAAAATAATGGCTGATCTTCATATGATAGATGAAAGCCAAGTAAAAGGCCCAGTTACCGTGAGAAGAGCTTGTAAAAATCAAGCAAATACATCTCTAAAGAAAACCATTGGTAGTCAATGAAAAGCATTTGTTTGAGAGAAAAACGTCATTCCTGGTGTTTGCTAGCTATTAATAGGCTTTTGACTTGATGGATAGGGCCCATTATGTACCAGGGGGTGGGGGGGGGGGGGGGGAGTCAAAGGTATGTGGTTATTTGTTATTTGCCAATCCCAAATGTCATATAGGGGAAAGAAAATTAACATTCATGTTCATTGCAGGTGTTATTTTCTCAGCTGCGATAATGGGGCTGATCAATTGGCTTGATAGAATCAACCAGTATAATATAATGTGACAAATACATGTACTTTGGATATGTTTACAGATAATTTGTTTTCTCTTTTTCTCGACAGATGCTGATAGCGTGCTCTCTACTTTGCCAAATTTCCTATGATAGATGTACAAGTTAATCCTATATGTAAAGTGCACAGTGCTCGTTAATGTTGCAGTGGAAAACAACAAAAATAAAAACAGATTCAAACAATTTTAAATTCTGATGCAAATATAATGGTAAAACACGACCTCTAAAAGGAAGGCCTGCATTCTGATTCAGGAGAAAACAAGAAAGATTCTTTTCGTCATGATAACTCTCAGAATCACAAAGAATCAGGACTTTCCAAAGGATGGCAGTATATATGCAGGACTGAACAGATATGTCCGGCTGGAAAAATTACCTATACATATACCTATGCTTTCCTATCATAGATCACAGTGTTGGTTGAATTAGGCCAACTAGATGCAACAAGGAAAAAGTGTAACCACTGTGAATTTACTCTAAGTGAATCTGATGTCAGGTCACAAATATTTGTGTCAAAGTCACTCAAAACAACTTAGAATCATAATGATTAACGAATAGTCCAAACACTTGAACCATCTGAGCAGTTAGTTCACATAATAATGATACCCTGTGACTTTATAGTTTAAAATATTAAACACTGATCAAGAGTCAACAGCTGTTGACTGACTTCTCACTTTCCAGAGGGACATTTTGATAAATATTAAATGCATATCTAATGTTACATAATTTGTGGTAAACCCAACACAGCAACAAGAAATAGAAAAAAAAATAAAATTAGGCACTTCACATAGAAGTAGGCATCAAATTTGTTTACATTAAGCAAATACATGTAGCCTATTATAGGATGTCTTGCCAAATTTTAGTGATCAGAATTGAAAATATGGTTCATCAATTATTTTCATTCCCATTCTTTTGCAAACATTAAAAGATATAATTCGATTTTTAAATTCCTTTCAAAGATACACTATGAACATGACAGACAATGAAAGCGGACAAAATATACAGTTCCTCAGGTAGACAAAGGGACATCCCTTCACTGCTATTATGTAAAAATGTGTAGAACAGGTGTCACATGCATATTCACCTGTTCTACACATTTTTACATAATAGCAGTGAAGGGATGTTTCTTTGTCTACCTGAGGAACTGTATATTTTGTCCGCTTTCATTGTCTGTCATGTTCATAGTGATAACCCCCCCCCGAAAAAAAAAGGGAAACCCCCCCCCAGGTTTTCCATGATTTCCAGGATAGCTGGAAACTTTCTGTTATAATAAACCCTGTTCACCTCTGAGAAGTCAACTATAACCATGTCACAGACACAAAAGTTCATACAAACTTTAACAATATTTATCTGTAGAACCCAAAACCTTATCTTAGTATATCATGAAACAACCTTCACGAAGTGCAATGACAGAACACTTGAACTGAAAAATAAGACAAAAATAAATCTTTAGTGTATACTATTTGTGCTTCTCATACATAGAGTCAAGTACCTCCTGTCTGCTCATTAACCCATTTAACCAGCATTCAGACTATCAGAATTCATCGTATAGCTACATATACAAGATATGTATACACCGGCACTTTTTCTAGTCTGAACTTCGTATACTGAAATTCTGTTTAACGACAAGTCTGAGCATCATTTCGAAAAAAAAGTTGATAAAGAACTGGGGTCCTGTTTTGGTCTGAGCATTGCATCGTATGAAAATAATTAAATTGGGCTATCGTGCACGCTGATGACTGGTCAGTTGTCATATCAATTGACCTCTTTCGCAACCAGCTTCTTTATACAATATTATACAAATATACACTGCCTTGAGAGGTTCTGGTTAAAACTATGCGCAAGAGGTGACTCCAATAGTACTATTTGCTGAGGGGCGCAGCCCCGAAGCAAATGGTACTTTTGGAGTCGCCGAGGCCCATAGTTTAACCAGTACTTCGAATAGAAGGCATGGTATATTTGTTTTATATCCTGCATCAAAAAATTATTTAAAAAAAAAAAAAAAAAAAAAAATTTAGAACAAAAAAATGTCAATTTTATCTAAAAAGATTTAAAATATTTTGTTTTCATTAAATTAAGATTTGAAAAAAAAAATTGATTCAATTCAAAAAAAAAATTCACATTTTTTTTCAACTCCCAAATAGTAAACCAAAATAGTACTCTCATATAGTACTTTCTAAAAATAGCTCAAATATTTTGGGTCATGTGACGAGCTCTCAACCAATCAGAAGCCAACAAATTTTGATGCAGGATATAATGTTATCTAGTCTGTATGGCTCTTTTGCTACACAATGATTTTTTTAATTATACAACTTTTCTTTATACAAGTTCCAGATAAACTTTCAATATGATTCGTTAATTATACAACGTTTCTTTATACCTGTTCCTGTGTGCATTGAAGATAAGGGCTGCATAGGACTCAAAGGGTTAAGCCAGATTTATCAGTTATGACTATTTATGGATTCTAATTCTGACTTTTCAGAAGAATCAAAGGTTACTATATGACGTCCTCAATAGATAATGACGGCATGCAAATAAAACTAGAACACAATAGAAATATGTCCATTCATAACACAAACAGAGCTTCAGTGCTATTCACCATGGACAAAATATGCATATATTATGCCATAAAAATAGGATGTTTACTCTTCACAATTACACAAAATAACAAAGATAAAACCGCAGTATATGCAGAGGCCAAAAAGGGGACAAATATTTTGTTCTGAATAAATCCTTTAGATACAGTCAGAGCACGAACAAAATTAAATTAAACTTGTTTGACATATATGTCAAATTGACCGACTTCATTGTTACCTCTAAAGTTGGAATAAGTTTTTCTTGCCTCTTTTCATGAAATGACTGTGACAATATGATTTATTTGTGATAAATGAAAGTGATATCTCATCAAAACCACAATCGTTTCATGAAATTAATAAACAAAAATTATTCAAACTTTACGGGCAGCAGGATACATTCAAGAACGAATATATGTTTTCTGCTTTGTTTATAGCAGTAAATGCTATCATTGCAATATTGTCATATTTTCATCTATTAGATTGTCATATTTTCATCTATTAGATTGTCATATTTTCATCTATTAGATTGTCACATTTTCATCTATTAGATTGTCATATTTTCATTTATTAGATTGTCATACTTTCATCTATTAGATTGTCATATTTTCATCTATTAGATTGTCACATTTTCATCTATTAGAATATCATTTTATATTTATTAATATGAGTTGTACAAAAATATGTACATGTATTTGGCATTAGAAAATTTGTATTTCAGGTCTAATATTTAAGACTTTTAAAGTAAACAAGTAAATTATTCATGACCTTGTCAATTAGATATTTGTTTGTGTTTTTCATAAATCGAGAATGAAAGGTGGACTGCTTGAATTGTGGCCTTAGCTGAATACCTTTAGATGTTAGCTCTAATGTGTCACATTCTCAAAATACATAAATTGGGGCAAATCAGTTTTTCACATTCTTAAAAAACTTGGTTAAAGGTATGAATTATTTAGGTGTTAACTGTAGTTTAGTCATCTACCCATCCTATGAATGAATTACTGGTATGAATTGGTTGCTAGGTAGTTAAGTCGAACTTAAAGTTGATCTTAGTCTTTGTGAAACACTCCTCTGGTTTCAGTTGTCAGTGGATTAAAACAAAATCCTTAGATAAGATCACAGACATTCAGTAATGGTGAGACATGCTTCAGCAATCACCTGTATATAAAGACCACCTGTCTATAAATACACATTTGTTATTTCCCTTGACAATCATTTCTCATAGAAACAAGTACTCAATGAACCTGGCTACCTGAACATAAAGACCACCTGCCCATAAAGACCACTTTTCTTGTCACCCTTGAGAGGTCTTTTATTCAGGTTTCAATGTAGAAAATGTCATCATATCTTCAGTTTGTAACAGCTTAGGGAAGTGTGAAGGATTTGGAACATCACTTGTTAAAGGGATCCGGTAACTTTGTCTCAGATCCTTTAAAAAAATCCTTGATTTAGCTCATGCTGCAATGATAATTATAAACCTTTAGGTCAGTCAGGAACCCCATGACTTTAACAAGCCGATCGCCTGTCAGATTATCAAGATATTTATGATTGAATATCGAAATCAAATTTTGAATTTGCCAAACGGTTTTCGTACACTACAGTCTACTGGGGAAAACGAGAATGGTAAAACCGGTCACTCAAAGGTTTTTACTTTTTCGAGGCACTTAATGATCATTTTGAAGCGCAATTTTTTGTTTGCTTCAATATAACACCATATCACAGACACTGATAACACGTAGGGCTGTGCATCTCAGATTTAACATTGTTAAACGATGCCTTTAAGGAACTCATCTAAAATCACTCACCACTTCTACCCTACTCTCCACCTATTTGAAATCACTTACCAATCCTACTCAGGACTTGGCCTATTTGAGGTAATTCACTTGAATGAAGAAAAACACAGCAATTACAACACTGCACTTTGAAGATCCACAACAACTCTTAAATATTTTCAAGAATTTACATCATCTCTTAAGATGTGCCTGTCTGACGATGTAGCTCTATCTATAACTCTCACAACTCCATCTACTGGCATTAGCAATGACTTGAAAGAGATGGAGGTACTTCTCGCTCATCGCAGAACCTACCCGGGTGCAAAATAATTAGTGCTTAGCTGCTCTTGACGTGCCGCCTTCCAACAAAGTTATCCATGGCTTTGGCCGTCTCAAAGAAGTCTTCCATACTAAAGATTGCTTTCTGGGGTAATATACTGCATGGTGTGGAGAGAAAGAGGGAGGGAGGGAGGGAGGGAGGGAGGGAGGGAGGGAGGGAGGGAGGGAGGGAGGGAGAGAGAGAGAGAAAGAGAAGACATTAAAGTAAAATACCAGATCAATATCCAGCATTACGAGAAACAGATTTGATTTCCCATGCATACTACAATGAGGGTCTTATGAACTAAATTTTTATTTTTTTAAATCGCAATTTAGCCTGACACACTGAGCAATGCCAAAGTTCAGTTTCAAAGTGAATCAAACCAGTAATCAACATTGCTCTTTTACTAAATATACTTGCTCCACAGGACATATCCTAATATCTGATGAATTACGATGTATTTTAAACAATAAACAAACTCTATGACTGGTACATGAAGATAAATTCTGCTAATAACTGCATACTAGCAAAAACAGTCATTCTGTTTTAACCTTTAAAGACCATCAATACTACTGTGCCAGAAGGGATTAGACCACACAGCGAGGTCACTGACAGGTGGCTATCTCATTAACTCAGCTCTAAACTAACATAAGAAAAATAGGATCATGGGGGAACAACAGGCACCGATTTGAGAAGTTTTCTATATAGAGGGAGCAAGTAGCTACAAGTAGGACAGTGGGGCTTTAACCCTATGTTAACTGGGGGGGGGGGGGGGGGGGGTCAATTTGACCCCCCCCTGTAGAAAATTCGCGACTACTCCGAAACCGCGGCAGATATAAAATTTTCCTTTCATGACTTTTTACTTTCGAGTCTTACGCATCTTTTAAAATGATTTTTTCGAAAATCGGACCTACGGTTACAAGGTCACGTGACCTTTTGTCTTTGCATGTCAGCCCGAAAATCACTCATTTTCGTGATTTGTGTACAAAACATATGTAAAAGTCATTTTTCCTAAAAATAGATAAAACATTGGTTATTTAGTCTTGTTTAAAGTTTAGATGTTTGTTTTGGGGTCAAAATAGTTGAATTGTAGTTATAAAAATACATAAGTTAAAAAAACAATGAAATACATAAGAAATTATAAAAACAAGAGATAACATAAGGAATAACCTGGCTCTTCCAATTTTTTGTGTTGTATTATTATTCCAAATGGTCTAATAAATATATGTAGTGAAAAAGAATACGTAAACATGAATAATCTATGATTTATGGGCAGAAATTTGAATTTGATGACCTTATTTGCATAAATTACCATAAATATGCAAATGAGTGAATTTTTCAAAAATTTGAAATTACCATATTATTCTATACACTTCACTTGACATGCATGCAAATTTTCGCGGCGATCGGCGGTGAAACGGCCGAGATCTTAAGGGGGGGTCAAATTGACCCCCCCCCCCCAGTAAAAACCTGGTCTGAAATAGCCCAGTTAAAATAGGGTTAAGGCGAGCAAGCAGGTACAGTGCCACAATACACGACAAACACCTGTGACAGACAAAGAAAAATCAGAAGAAACATAGTTGAAAGACTGGTAACTTACTCTTTGAGGAGTACCATGAGATGTAGTAAGACTGGTGTTCGTACTAACGCTGTTCTTGTCTGCACTGCCTCTACCACCTTCCCTGCTACATACTCTGGCTCAAGAGTCGGAACTATCATTTCATATCTTTTTGTTTTCCATTTCATGCAAAAAAGAGAGAGTTTCGATAACATTAAATATAAGTACAGTCAAAACAAAGAAAGAGGGGAATCTATTACACATAGAATTAGTTTGGTGTAAAAAATATCAGAGGTAAAAACCCAGGGGTAGAAAAGATTGACAAAAGTGACAATCCTACAATTTTGATAGACATGTTTCCAGTTTGCTTTCACCTTTCCTTTTCCTAGATCAATTAAAAAAAAGAAACAATTAAGCATAATGATCGAACACTCTTGCATTTTACCGCTTATATTTCTTACTTGGTATCATCGAATCAAGGCGCTAGGTCTGGCAATTGTGCATCACCTGATAAATACTATTTTTACCACTCACTGCATGCTTAGTCCACTTGTTCAATTTTTGTTTAAAAAGTGATAGTTTATGTTTGACTAATAATATTTTTTCTCAAAAAATGAAAAGAGTGATACCAGATCAACCATAGACAACACAAAAAATTGACAAAACCCCCAGAAGTCCAAGATGTGTCTAGTGTTGGTCATTTTGGAGTCAGTCTTACGGTGTGATTAAGATATGTCAGACTTTCAAGGAAAAAAACAAACATCAATTACTCTCACAAGACTTTATTTCTTGTATCCTTTCACCAATGCGACTGGTACCTAAACATTTCGGTTCAACTTTTAGGTACAGAGAATTATGTAAAACAGAGAATCACAATTATCTTGTGATTTTAAAGATACAAATTTCACTGATTTAGCTTTTTATGGATAGTCTTCAAAGGTAAGTTTACAAACCAAGATAAAAGATAATTCATCCAAATGATAATTTTTTGAAACCCTAAATACTTGTAAAAGCAAACCCGACCCAATCTATTGAAGCATGTTTCCAGTCGGCCTTGCACTTTTGAATTTGGCTCAGTTGGGGGGGCTGTACAAAGCATATGTCAACACACCTGTACAAGAATATCTTGCTATTGTTGTGCATTGTTCCATGTGAGATACTTTCCCGACGTGTGAAACATATCAATTCACCTCCGCAGAACGTAGTGGAACAAAAAGAGTTATCCGGAGCACGAAAGGCCCAATAGATAGTAATGTCGGTGAATGTGGAGGCGCAATGGCTCAGTGGTCTTGTAACTGAGAAATTCCTGGTTTGAAAGCAAGTGGATGCGCTAGTGCCCTTTGGTAAGGCATTTATTAATATTACCAAGTCCCTCTAACAGGACTTAAATCCGTTGATCCCCTTGTTGCTTACTTACAAGCATAAACATGCTTTCTTTATAGCAGTTAGGTAAACACAAACCAACCAACCAATCTGAATGAATTTTAGGTGCTACCTAGCCTAATCAAATTAGAACACTTACATGTATCTACAAGCTCCATATCCAACGAGGTGGTTCTACCTCCACTGGATGAAATAATGACTTTCAACAATGATGCCTTTTGCATTTTGGGTCCATAACACAAGGGCTTGCAATCCATTGCAAATTTCAAACAACGATTCTGAGCGGTTAATGGTCAGCCTATTGAAAAGTCTGTGCATGCTATGGTGATCTTGATTGGCAATTGTAATTTTTGCTGGAGGTTTCTTTTTGTGCTACTCATTTTGCTATTTACTCCATTTACCTTATCTTTGTTCCAGCAAACATGCCAGTGTTGATCATGTAAGGGTTGACCAGCGTGAAGTTGATCCCTAATTTACCGGCAGCTCTCGTCTCTCTCAAGACGGCCTCGTGCAGACCGACGGAAGCAAACTTGCTCATGCAGTACTCTGACATCCCTGCTGCAGAGATCTCTCCCATAATGCTGGCGATGGTGACAATGTGACCATGGTCCCTCTTCATCATGTCTGGAAGGAATGCTTTCAGGGTCTGTGCAGAAAATGGAAAAAAAGAGATGATATCTCAAAACTTTATAATAAAAGTATGAAAATTCAGACTATGTGGACAATTTAAGGTCAACTGGGGTCAGATAATTAATGTGATGCTGGTCCCTCTTCATCATGTATGGAAGGAATGCTTTCAGGGTCTGGGCAGAAAATGGATGAAAAGACGATACCTCAAAACTCAATAGTATGAAGAATCAGACTATGTGGACAATTTAAGGTCAACTGGGGTCATTTAATTCATGTGACTATGATCCCTCTTCATCATGTATGGAGGGAATGCTTTCAGGGTCTGGGCAGAAAATAGATGAAAAAGATGATATCTCAAAACTTAATAAAAGTATGAACAAGGGAAACGCTCTCGGCGGTCTCGCCTGCATTACGCAATTCGATATGATGAAAAATTGAGATTGGAACATTATTTATAGGCAGGGTGGCCTATTAGCAGGCCCCCCCCCAAATTAAATCCTTGACTAAGAATCATTAGAAGAATTATTTACTATAATTTGTACCAAGATTAATAACTTTAATGGAATATGAACAAATAACTAAAATTGATTTATTAATTCTCATATTAAGTTGTGAAAACATAATCCAAGTCTACAACCTCAAAATGACCTTTGACCTTGACTCTGTGACCTGGAATTTGATGCCCCCGCCATCACCGGAAAAGCAAGACTATAGGGGCAGTTACACTGTCATCCAAACACGCCAAAAAATGCCAAACCGGAGCCTGGCCGCGATGTTACCAAGGGCAACTACGCTTTACCGGCAGACATGCCAAGCCCCAAACATTCCAAAACGAAGTGTGATCTTTTGGCGTGTTTTGGCGTGTTTTGGCGTGTTTGGCAAGTATAACCGCTCGCAGTTGTAACATCGCGATGTTAGGCACGTGACTTCCGGCACTTCCGTATTGTTACCCGCGCTCTTTTAAACCACGTTCTTCTCGTGTGATATTTATAGCATTTCCATCGTCGCGCGTGTTATCCGTTCATTCAGCTCCGTTTGTTCCAATTCCGTTAACTCATCCTTTATTCAATCTTCGTTATTCCCGTCTGGCCATATCTGTCTAGTAGTAGTATTTGAGTGTTTTGTTAGATTAATTAATATGGAAGTGAACAATTCCCATTGGACTGATGATGAGATGAAGTTCTTGATTTCGATGTGGAGGCAGGGAGAGCTCCTCCACCAGACTTCCAAGCGTCCCTGCAAACGTGGGGAAAAGGGCTTCAGAGAAATGAGTGAAAGCATGAAATTAACAATTAACAACGATGATTTTCTTAACCTTCCCATATCGTTTTTACTACTAGATTTCGATTGAATTTGGGAAAACTGAATCAGCAGCCGTAGTCCGTACTTCGTAACTTATCCACTCTTGCCTCAAATACTACACGCGAGATAAACAAAACATATCGCATGCATGCGCATGGGATGTATCGCTATTTAGCTAGCTATAGCGCTAGCTGGAAATTGCGCGCGCTAAAAATCTTATAGCAGGCCGGGGTCAAAGGTCGGGAAGACTGCACATGCGCATTACCAATCGAAACACGCCAAAACATCGCTGAACAGCTCCGTCGGTGATGTTTCAGCACAAGTGTAACCGGGTGCACGAAACATCGCGACTTTTCAAAATGAGGTATTTGACAGTATAAATGCGCCTAGTATGGACAATTTAAGGTCAACTGGGGTCAGATAATTAATATGACCATGGTCCCTCTTCACCATGTCTGGAAGGAATGCTGTTAGGGTCTGGGCAGAAAATGATCTGAAAGAGGATATTAAAGTGCAGTCAGCAGGAGTATTTAGGTATCAAGGTATAGTGTCAATGCAACTGTTTGGGTCAGGCAAGGGGATGTGATCAGATCCCTCTCTGAAAGGAATGCCTTTACTTAGGTTCACTAAATTGTAATTGAGGTGGCCAGTTGGCCAAGTCTGTAAAGCATCTGCCTGTCTAATAAAAGATCGTGGGTTCAAATCCAGCATGAGCGGATGACTGAAACCTGTGTTGTGTGCCCCTCTCCTATACTTTTTGTAAAGAGTACAGGGTGGGGGGAGGGATCACTGGTGTAGTGGTATACATGTACCTGCACATCTCATTTAGTTATATCAGAAGGAATGACCCAAGGAACATAGAGATTAAGTTGGCCTTACCCCCTCCCAGGCCCAGCAGGTGATGCTAAATCAACATTGATATACATGTTATGATAATAAACTCTATCTGAATCATTTCCCACCCTTACCCATGCATGTGCTAAAGCATTGACTTCCATGGTCTTCTGTATCGCATCATCGGTCAGATTAATAAACTTATGACCGGCGATGATTCCTGCGTTGTTGACCAGTATTGTGACCTCTCCGGCTTCTCGCTTGACCTTTGCCGCGGCTTCATACACCTTCTCCCTCTTGCTGACATCACAAATGCAATACCAGGCTTTCCTTCCTGTCTTACGCACCAATTGGGCCGTCTCCTCAATTCCTGTAGTAATTATAAAGAGAAGGTTGAGTTCTGGTAAAAATGAAAAATAATTTGCGAACTTCCTTATTCCTTTTACAGTGAAACCTATCTATAGCGACCATCCACGTGTAACACAAAAAGTGGTATTTATAGACAGGTGGTCTTTGTAGACAGGTTCCTTTAGTACATGTTTCAATGAGAAACACAAAAAATGTGGTCTTTATAGACAGGTGGTCACTAAAGCAGGTTTGACTGTATCATTGTGGAAGAATAATTCATTGTATTTATGTCCGCTGAAACGGATTACTCTTCAAATGCCCTTCAATTTGAAAGATGATTAGAGACAGCTCAAAATTTTGGACTAAACTTTTATGCTGTATGTGTGTCGTCCCATATACCCTTTTCTGCGTGCAGTGCGTGCGATTATCAGCAAGATGAGTCAATTTATTTTTATTTGATCATTTCAAAACTTTACAGGATACATCAATTCATATCTATAATATCCTTTCCCATTTGCTGTCAGCAAGTTTCTGTCACAATCTAATCTCATGACCAGCAGTCAAACTCAACTTCATCTTTACATAGTAATTCATGCACAGCTAAGCATATATTACATTGATGTACTTGGCTAGTAGAGTGTCTTTTAATTACCTTGGATATTGGTAGACAGCAAATATTTGATCTCAACCCATCAGTACTATTCAGCAAAAATATTAATTAACGTCTGAGCGCTGACTTTGCATCGTCCTACACGATCTTCATGGATCTTTCATGTGTCAATACTCTTTGTAAATGTATATTGTGCAGTTATGATTTTAATGAGTATGTATGTGCAGTCCATTACTTCCAGGCTATGTCCTGTTATATATTAGAGGTCACAGGTAATTTATTATTTAAATATCATGTGAGTCAAATACATGTAGAGAAATGAGTATTTCATCAGAAATCTTCTTACATCATGTGACATCAAAAAATGTTTCTTCTAATTCTGTGAGAAATTTTACACCCACATGATTATTATTGCAGGGCCCTCAGGGAGAA